GGCATCAGGCTGCCAGTGTTTCATACGGAATGTACGTGTCGTTCTGATAACCCAGGGATATCACGTCAGAAAGTGATCTGATGGAGGCGGATGCTGACGTCGGTGTGCGCGGGAGGATGCTGGTGCCCGCGGAGCGGGAGGTGTCTGCGGCCCCGAGCCCCCCCGTGCATCCCCCTGCCTGCTCCGCCGGCTTCATCTGGGCGCGCTAGGGAATGGCGAACGTCGATAGGGAAAAGCAGGGAACATCAATAGAGAAGAGACTCATTCCCCAACATTTGGCATTAAGGTTGATGGCAGAGAAGCACGTGAGCGCACGGACACGAAGCATGTGAACAGCTGGCTTGTGTCGTGTGCGTACTTCAGCAATCCTTTTCATTTCTGTTCACAGATGATGTAAATACACATTGCATCATCCGTGTCACATCTACTGGTCTGCATCCTTCAAACAATTACAGACTTTGTGACTATTTCTCTTCTTAAAGTTACGGGTCCAGCTGGAGTTGGTGTAGTCAAACTAACTTCTGCCATAAGAAAGAGATTATGGCTAATAGTTTGAATATTCCTATAAACTGCAGTCTTATCACTAACTTCTACCATAAGAGATTATGGCAAATAATCTGACTATTCCTATAAATTGCAGTCTTATTACTATGTATTTGAAAGGACTTAGTTCTTCAAAAAGGAGTAGGGAAAACACTGCAGGTTTTTTAATTACCTTCTTAGAAAGTAGTGTTTAATAAAATAAGTGAAAGGGACAAATGATCTCTTGCTTCCATTACTGTGGATTTTCTAAAGTCAGTGCAGTGTTGCTGATGTTAAACTTTCTGTCTCATGTACCAGAGAAAAGAGTCTGGTCAGATTACCAAAATAATGCTTAGTACTGTTTATATCCCTGTGAAGAATCTACTAAATTTAAGCATTTAATATAATATAAACATGCAACATAGAGAGGTTGTTACATTTCGAAGTAAGTTATTTATGCACCTCTGTTTTCCCTTAAAAGACTAGTAGACAGAAGTGAACACGAAACAATAAGACATAATGAAACCCAAACAAGCACTGATGTTCGCGCTGGTTACCCAAAGTGACATTTTAAGGACATTTATTCTTGATATTTTTAGTGACCTCTTTATACGTACGTTACTTTTTCCCTTACCAAACCAAAACCAGAGAGCAGGAGAGGGCGAGAGGGCAGCAGCCGGGGCCGGGATGCAGGAGGAGCATCCCCAGCCTGCCCGAGCAGCACCAGCCTCGGGCATCTGCCGTGGCCGGGTACCGACCGCTGGCTGCCGCAGCTTTGGGCAGAATTGAGGGAAATAAAAGCTCTCCTCCATCTCAGTCTACCTGATACTGGCAGGGTAAAGGAAGAGCTGAAACCGTAGTTGGCAAAAAAAATTCCTATCTCCTTATATGTAAATGTTTAATTCAGTATATTTTTAATTTAGTAATGCTCGAGTAAGCTTCAGGATGTTTAGTACAGGATATTACTGCAGTAGAAACACTGTCTCTGCCCAAATCTTGCTGTGCGATGGAAATGACGATGGCAACAAGGCAGCGTGTATGTGGGGGGAGGATTCAGAGGCACACTCAGGTCTAAATTGCAAAATGTAAAGTGAATGGGTCTCAAGTGGACCGGTCCCTCAAAGCAGAGCAGTGACAACGTTTTGGGGGAAAATAAAGCCTAGTTCACGAATATGCCTATTTATGCGTGTGTTCTCTGTGTGTAAGCTAGCGCAATTTGCCTACGATTTGACACCAGAGTATTCACAGGCACAATTATCCATTAGTAATTCCCGTAAGAGTGCTCTTAGCTTTATCTGGTTCACTGCTATGGGTGTCTAATCAAACAGTCTGTTGCTTTTTCCTTTGTTTGTCTTTGTCTTTGCTCATTTTGTTTACTTTCACCATTTTTCTGTCGTGCAGACCCACACATTTCTTCATATAATCACCCAGTCGTGCCTGACACTAAGCAGGATAGAGGATGGCACCCATGGTCCCACGGTGGAGGCTTGCAATGGCAGCCCCTTGCAAACGTGGATGCTAAGAAACTACACAAGGCTGGAAGTCTTTAGAAACATTTTTTACAGCCCCACTGACTATTTCCTTTAACAGACGGTTGGAGGTTGGTATTAAAAAGCAAATGTAACATGTAATGATTTAAGCTGTTCCCACAAAAATGCTTCTCTGTTTCCTTCTTATTAAACTCAGCTGAATTCCTTTCTTGTTTTTGCAGATGATTGTGTAGATATATAACATTATATATGTTTAGTGTTAGTTATTATTAATTATAACTAATTTTAGATTCATTCAACTATCTTGAGCTACCTCCGTGATCTATTGATGTCAATGTGATCGTTACCGTTTGCAATAGCTGAAGATTTGGTCCCTATTCCGAGACACATAAATAATGCCCATTGCGTAATATTTTTCAGAAATGTTCATTTTGAAAATTTCCAATTTTAAGTAATTCAGTCCTAGAGATGTTAGTCACAGATAATTTCAAAACAGCAACAGGTGCTTTTGAAACACTAATCACTGAAGGAATCAAAATATTGTGCCAACTGCCGTTCTTTCCTAGACAGTTTTGCTGGGTAATGTAGCGGATGGTGATGGGGCAGCGCACGTGCAGGGGTACCACCTGGGGTTGCTCTCATTCCTTATCTGCTTCCCAGTCAAACAACGGGGAAAGCCCCAGCAGCAGGATTTTGAGAAATGGCTTTTTTCGTTTTCTCAGGACTTCTTCTGCTATGAACAACATTTTGCTGGTGTCTTTCATTCACAAAAGTCACTTCTTAAAACGGAGAACTTCCACAGCTGCTGATATTGCTGATATCTATAATGTCCACTAGAGTAAAGCAGTGCTGGAGTAAAGGATCTGTGCTCCGTCATTTTGCCATAATGTATTCAGTCTTCACTCGTCAGGGCTATTATTTGCATACATTTGGTAAGCAGGGAAACTACAGAGCTTGCTCCTGTGCATCTGCGTGTCTGTACAGCTAGCTCTGCACCCATGTGTGTGCTCTCACATTGGAGTAAAACACAAATTTTAGGCTGGCTTGTATGAGTATCATATTGCCTAGTAATTAATTGTTTTCCAAGCAAATGAGACCTTTTTTGTAATAGCATAAATAATGATAGAACACAGAAAGAAAAAATTTATGAGATGGTTGAAAATCCCAATGATATGGTAATCTAGCATGAAATTATACACTGAATAAAAGGGAACAGCTGATGAAGGCAACAGCAGCATTTTTAGACTTGTTTGCATTTCTGGTTATAGTAGAAAATGATAGCAGCTTAATTGCACTTAAAACAATATAAGTGAAGAATCAGTGATGCTTTGAGCAGTGCTATTTAGTAAACAAGCTACTTCTGTTAGCACTACTAATTCTTTCCTCTTGTAATTAGAGGAAAAAATGCCTTATATTCATCATGAATGCATATCAAATGGCCCCTCAGTGATTTGTTGTAATATATGCAGGCTTTTCTTTGAGAATTGCATAATAGTTTGTTTTAAACTGAGGAGTGAATCTCTAGGGACAAGCTGTTGAAAGAATATTCATAATACAAATTAGGAGTGTTACTATGTGACATGGCAATCCGGTATGAACTGCAGTGTGAAATTATATAGTGCAATAGAGCAGGTATATGTTTGGATAATAAAACCGCATCAGTTGTTGGCAGAATGTTAGCAGTTCCCAGCAGTTGAATTGAAACACCAGACAATAGTCTTTTTTTTTTTTTTCATATGAAGATACACAAATGGTGTTTATTAGCAGTGAGACTGCACCAGAGACAGTAGTTGCTAAAAAAGACTCCTTATCTGCATAACTTCTGTTACAGTCGTATCATTTATATTATATTATGGCAGTATTTATACTCGCAGGTGGGTGCGAGGGAGCGAGCAGCCTCCACCGCTCTGGTAGCCAGTTTCTTGAAGGAGACCTCTGCAGTGCTGCTGCTCCAAGGCTTCGGGTCGGGCTCTGCTATCGTGGGGTTGATCCATCCTTTCTCCCTCCTTCAGGAGACAGCAGAATTTTTGCTGCCCGTCCTTGTTTCCCCGTTTGTTCCTCTGCATGGTGTTTGACATAAAATTGGTCTCTGCTCCAGTGGAGGCTCTGCAAACAAGATTTCAGTCCTGCAATCGCCTGTTCCCTTGGTTGTTCCTGTTGGGGCAGGGTTATAATCCCTGTGGAGCTGCTATACAACGGCTCAGACCTTGTTTGACCACTTTACCTGGAGCGTTAACCCACCTGTGTAGGTTGCTTGACTATTTTCAGAAGCAATGGAAGAACAGAGCCCATGTCACCCCGTAGCTGCTGCTCAGCTGCAAATGTACCTGTCTTGTTTTATCTAAGTACACAACTTCGTGTTTAACTTCCCTGGATCTCTACACGAACGTGTTCAAACAGAAGATGATTTATTTCTTCACAATAAGTTCTATTTCCTTTCTGACTCTCTTGTTCCTTGGAAATACAGCGTCATGTGGTAGAAATAGAAAGGGACGGGTGTTCCAAAGAAGAAAAACTGTATTGGAAACAGAAGAGTTTTCATCTGCATGTTGCCATTGTTCATATAATACTTAGTAAATGTATTTCCCGTAGCAATTATTTCTGAACTAACAGTCCCCTGGTCAGAAATGCATGTGTGTTCAGGTTGTTGGAGACTAAGCTGCTTAATCCAAAATACTGTTGCTTTGAAATAATATTTCCTTGCACTTATTTTGTACTTTTCTGTCGCATTTATTTGTTGCCGGGTTCAGCAGAGGCGTTCGCTCCCTGGGTTGCCTGGCCACGCATGAGAAGGTGAGCTGGGCACCCCGTGGAGTGGCAAGTAGCGTGGTAGAGGTCTTGTAGAGCCGTACAAGCGATAGCCAGGGATGAGTACCTGTTTTGTGGCTTGTGTAGTGACTAGAATAAGCCTGAAATAAGGCCAAAAATGCAATTATTGGTTTTCAGCAGTAATTCTCTTGCTGCAGCTCTTACACTTCTCTATTGCAGAAGCTCACCCTGAGGCACGTCAACAGCAACCAGTGTCTGGATGAGCCGTCGGAGGAGGACAAGATGGTTCCCACCATGAGGGAGTGCGGTGACAGCCGTTCCCAGCAGTGGCTGCTGCGCAACATGACCCTGGGTGCCTGAAGTTGGCGCAGACCCGCTGCCTCGGCCGGGATGTCCTCCTCCTCCTCCTCCCCTCCTCCTTGCTGAGGCCGGCAGTGCCGAAGCCATCTCCAAATCCCAGCTGCCAGAGCAAAGTCACGGGGGGGTTCCCTGGATGCGGCGGGTCTCCACGTGCCCCTTCAAAACCTGTGCCCGTTCAAAAGAAGCTCATCTGAGCCTATAAATGTCAAAACATGTGCTGTCACCAACACAAATATGTTCAAAAATGGTTCCAGAGACACCTCTATGAACCCTACATCAAAGAAGTTGGGATGGAGGGTGTTTTCTGTGTGTCACACACCATGACGGAGAAGGGACCCGATATAAAATGCCTTATGACACTAACTGGCACTGGGAACCATCCTGGCAGGCGTCTCCTGAGCTGGATGTGTTGGTGCTGGTCTTTCCTTGCAACACGGTGGGGATATTTGCTGTTCTCTCGTGTTGAGTGGGACTCGGTGAAGAACCCCACTGAGCAGCAAAGTCACTGTACAGAGCAAAAGCTTCATGGTTTGTGCCAGGAAAAAAATGGGATCCGGTGTTTGGAAAAGCAGCCAGACTGAGCAAAGGCTGCACTCAGAAACTGAAATCAGATCAAATGAGACAACAGGAAAAGACGCGGGAACAATGTTAAGAAGGAGGAGTGACGCACGTGGGTAACCCAGAGCAGCGCAGATTGAAATGTCCTCTGCAGCGGGAAGAGAAATGGCTGGGGCTCACCCCTGGGGAGCTGCAAGGGGGTTGCAGGTGGAGGTACCAAAAACTGAGACCACCGGAGACTGAGAGTTGGTCTGAACTCCATCCCTAGCTGCTACCCTTAAGCATTAGTATGTACCTGTATCCTCTATAAGACACAGACGAGAGCTTCATCCATGGACCCCCCTACGCACAGAGGGTGAAACTGGACTGACCCTGAGTTCTGGCTCCAGATGTTCTTGCTTCGATAGCGATGACAGATGCTTATTTATATTTTTAATAATTTTGTGGCTTAATCATTTTGTCAGCATGGTTATTAAAAACGTGCTGATGGCACGCAGTTGTGTCGGAGGCGTCGCAAGAACTGATGCCGTGGTGGGGTGTGGGGAAGGGTCCTGTACGTATGGGTGACATTTCCTATATGTGCTGGTGATGTTTCCTTTGGTGACCCCGGTAGCACACGCTCCCCAAAATGCATCTGTTGCGCGACAGGCTGGGCTGGGTTTTTGGCAATAATCTGTAACTTCTCATTGCCTAGAGGGTTCGAGACCTAAATCACAGGGCGGCAGTCGCAGCGTAATTTCAGCACGGGTAAGTGGTGAAATGGTTTCCTATTATTTCACTCACAGTTCCTCAAAAGGTCCGTTTATGCACTAGGTCATTAAAAATGACAGTATTTTCTGTATAATGCTCTGGTTGTTATGGATTAATAGTGTCATATATGTACGTATTATAAATTTATAGATCATCCATATTTTCTTGGTACACATCATTAAATGAAAAATAGACGAATATTAAATTGGAAAAGTGATTGCTCTGCATGCATGGGAGCTAGAGCGTCACGGATTAACGCAGACTGGAAGCTCATCTAGTCCAGCCTCCCTGCTCAAAGTAGGGCCAAACACTTCCACTTCTTATCTTCAAATCACCACAAAAGTACACAACGTGGCTTAAAAGCCAGCAGAACAGGCAAAGGCTGTAATTCTTCTTCGTAGAAAGAGCATGCAAACATCACAAACAAATTTAAACACCAATCTCCAAGCAGAAAAAAAGTCAATATAATTGTTTCTTCATCTCCTTTCCAAGGGTCGTTGCCACATGCACACCCACTCATGCTGGTAGGCATCCAGGTACTTGGCTTTTGCATGTTGCTGCAGAAGTAAATGTTGTGGAAGGTCCTACAGCAGGCAGGAGCATTAGGAGAGGGCGGCTGGTGGTGCCGTCTCTCCTGGGTGCCTCCAGCGTTACTTATGAAATACCCCCGGCAGCGAAGGGTGAAGGCTGCCAAGTCTCCTACACTGCCCTGTTCTCATCCCAAATCCCAGGTTTTCCTGACGTTATAGCTGGAGGGTGACGGCAAGGTGCAACCGGTGTGCAACTGTCTAGGCTTGAGGTGCAATCTCAAAAACAGACGAAGAAAAGAATATTTTTCTCCTTAGAATTACTGGAAAGGTTTATAGTCTTGTAAAGTGTGTAATCCCTTGGTTCAGTTAGGGAGCTTGCCGTTTTTGGGTATGGTCAGTGCCTGCGCTGCTGGGTCCCTGCTGGGGGGAAAACAGAAGGGAAATGCCTCTGTGATGGATTGTACTTGTTTAGGAGCCAGGACCTGTTTAACTTCAGTCACAGCAAATATTTCTGTGGGCTTCGAGAGGCTGGATCCTGGATTTACCTCCTCGGTAAGGATACAGAAGCCCCTGGAGTCTCATCCCAAAGGAATTTCACACAAAGCCTCATTTACGGAGAGCGAGGTGGTGATGGTGAGGGTGCCTTAAATGCTGATAATGGCATCAGAGATGGTAAACGATGTGGTTCAGTGAATGAATATAAGTTACTGCGCTTGGGGCCCAGCCCTTCCTCCTGCCACTGAATTCAGGTGTTGCCTTGGCAAGTGATGTGGGCTAAAATCATTTAAAATAGGTCGTCCGCTTGCCTCTGTTGGTGAGTGTCTGAAGTTCAGTGCCCACAAACGGACCACATTAGTTGGTCTTTGCTTCCCCATTTATAAAATATCTCAAAAAGGTGTCGGGAGGATTGACTTCTATTTGCACAATATGTTTAAAATATAAAGAATTCTACAAATGCTGAATATTTATTGTTTTCACTGGAAAAGTGTTGCTGGTTCTCCTATTTTTTAAGACTTGCTTTGACGAAAGGAGAGCGAGCTCTAAGGCTGGGTGGCATCAGCAAACTGAATGTTTTGAAGAGCAAGTTGAACCATAAACGTAAAAAGCCGTGTTCCTTTTTACCTCCCGGCACCTTCTGGGGATCCACGGAGGTAAGGGAACCCAGGTACAACCCCAGAACTAAAATAGGCATTTGGATCAATTGACCTAGATAGGTTTCTCTGCAGATGTGGATTTCCCAGTCACTAGGAGGATTGATTTATTTGTTGCACTCTAATATGAATAGTGCTTTGAAGAAAAGCTGCAAAACTCCATGTTCTGATTTTTTTTTAATGTGAAATTGGAGATCTCATCTGATCCCGCACCCTTGGGCTGCATCTCGTGGGGGGTGCTGGGCAGAACCTCACGGGAGGCGATTCTCAGAAGGTCAGAGCCATTAAACAGACCGGAACAATTTGGGGAGATAAAAAAGGAGTTGAGGAGTGCCGGTAAATGCCACAGCCCGCCCGTGACAGTTTGCATTTTTTCGGGTAGCTGAAAGCCTGCCTGCATCCCCACGGCTAACACAGCTGGTGAGACTACACCAGGCGTAACCTGCTGCTAACGAGCTACTGTATGACCGACGGTGTTGAATGAACACCAGCAACTTGTTTTAATGCTTCTGTGGCTTTCTGTGTCCGTGCTTCCTCTCCAGCGTGTAATAACATCCAGCCAGAACCATCGCTCCGATATGTGGCCACCCCCCTTTTATCTTATTTTATCTCTGCGAGCACGTATTCAGGACAGCTCGGTAAGCGGTGCCTTGCGAAAAGGCCACGATACTCTGAGATAATACAAAGTTTATTTGAAAAACGTTGGGATTCTGCTCGGTATTTTCCGAAGCAGGGAAAAAAAAACCTGAGGTGCCATGGTTTGGAGGACGCGCTTACAAAAGCTCCTGAATAAGTGCTGGGAACACAGATTTAAATTAAATTTATAAAAGTAGATTATGGATAAAGAATTACACATTTTAAATGTTGTAACAGTTATTAAATGGTATACTGGTACTCTTTGCTGTACATTTAAATATTTATACATTTTTGTAGAATTAAAATATACTGGTTTAGTTTTCTTCTGGTGCGTTTGTCTTTTTCTGTATGTACTTATTTTTTATACGGTAAAACCCCAGATTTTCCACTACAAGTCCTATATTTTTAGACCCTTTATTTACACGTACCACTTCAGGAATAGGTGGAAGAGCTTTTCCTGGTGTGAGGTGAGTGATGGAGAGGCGGCCATATGGGAGTGTGGCCGGGCAGGTCGGCACGGGTGTGTTTGGCATTCCCTCAGCTGGCGTTTGAGGCTCCATTTTCCAGACATCCCCTGGAAAACATCATCATGGAAGAAAACCGGGCTTGGCCGTGCGTCAGAGTCCGATGCACATGCCAGGGTCTGCATCTCACACTTGAACCCCTGGTTTTTGCCCTGCTGTGCTAGATACTGCCCAAATGCTGCATTCACTGTCTGTGTTTTGGGAAAAAAACCAAATAATTCAGTGGGAAAGAAGTAGTTTCCATATAAATCCTATTCCATGTCTCCCTGCGGTGGGCACAGAAGGGCCGGGTTGGACAGCCGCCCATCATGGTCGTCGTGGCTGGTTTGGGATGCCGCTCATCCCTCGGGTAACAACACTCCCTGATGACGGGGCTGTAAGGAAGAGAAAGAATCTGGTTATGTACTGTAGGTAATACCTGATGCCAATAACAGAGTTTGGTGGTCGGAGGATTTTCTGGTTTTAAGTTGCATCTTGAATCCTGAAGCGGCTGGGTAGGTTCTGGTAAGAAGCGGGGAGGGAGACTATTTTAAAAACAAGGGATTTGTGAACATAAATGAAAATTAATCGTCAGGAGACTGAGGGGGAGAAACCGGTTCATGTCATCACTGTAGTGGAAGTGACTCCTGGGAAATTATAGCACAAATAACATTATGGCAATATTGTATGATTTCAGATTTTACTTTTAATTTCAATTGCTGGACAAAACCAAGCTTTTTGTTCCTAGCCTCACAAAAAGTTAAGCGAAGTGGTAAGAGTGTTATAAGCGACAGAAGATTATGTACCCTTCACCTGCATTACTTTAGAGTTAGTGATAAAGAAATTATAACATTGAGGATGATAAAGATTTT